AAAATGGCTACCTTTAGTGTAAATCAAACAATTCAGAACAATTTATTTCAAAAATGAAATAAATTGTTTTGAAAGAACTGCAACAACATTTTTGAAGGGGTTTCATTTTAAAATATTTAAAAAATAATTAATAAATTATTCTGAAAGAACTGCAACAACATTTTTGAAGGGGTTTCATTTTAAAATATTTAAAAAATAACTAATAAATTGTTCTGAAAGAACTGCAAAAACGTTTTTAAAGGGGTTTCATACTATGAACTTTGTAATTGCTTTTATACTGTTGTTATTGTTGTTATAACAATTTAACAACTGTTGCTTAAAAAGAATACCGTAGAACGGGGTGACTTTGTTAGGATTTTGAGCATTTTTCCAAAATAAATCTGGTTCATTACAATTTTTTCTGATTTTTTTTTTCCCGTTATAACATTATACCTTTCCTTTATATAATTCCATTAAATATTTTTAATTTTTTTTTGTCTTAATATATATATTTTTAATCCAAAATGTTATCAATCTCACCCCGTCGTTTGGGGTGACTTTGATAGTCTATTATTTCTTAATGGCTTATTAATTTAACCCTCTTTACAGTGTCGCTAATACTTTCTTTTTGACTTTTACTAAATTAGAACACAACATATTAGTAAACTTATAAGATTTACTGGTAAAATTATAAAATTAGACAACAAGAATGGACAAAGAAAAACAAAAATTAATTTGATGTTAATATGCTAAACACAGAAAAATAATATATCAATAACATTGTTATAGTAATTAGCAGTTATAAAATTCTGTCTAAAATCCATTCTGTCTAAATAGTTTTTTACTAGCAGACGTATATCTAACTTATCTAAAGGTAACTTCCAATCTGTCAGAATGCTAATAATTTGTAAAATCTTTTCTTCTGTATGGGGCTGTAATCTAGTCTGTCCTCCAGGGTTTTTCATATGTCTTAGCTTACTCTTGTTGTACAGAGTACTATATGGTATAGCATATATCTTAGATGCCTTGAAAATCGATATTCTGTTAGTTGAGATATTTACCAAGGCATTTTGCAAGTCTTCTGCTGTGTAAGATGCATAGGATCGATTACCTGGTGTACGTTTATAAGTTCTCATAATCCTTGCAATTCTCCTTGTGATATTTTTTGTTTTAACGTTTTTTTTAACTAGAAATAATCGTTTGAAACATTAAAAAATTACAATAGGATTGAAATATATAATACTAAAAATCATTTGAAAAACTGAAAAACAAAATTGTTTTGATTTTTCTGCAAATGTGATTGAGAGTAACCAAAAACGGGTGGTATATTCCAGTGGTATTATAACTAGAAAATACCACTTGAACATCTAAGTATAGATTTTTAGAAAAAAAAAATTTCAAAAAAATTAAAATCACAAGATTTTTTAGCATTTTTTGGTACGTGTAAAAATCGTTATTTTTTTGTTATAGTCATGTTATTCCTAACACATTTGCACAATATAGAATCACTTCACAATCATTAAAATTTCAAAAATATTAGCAGAATATAATTATGTACAAGAATAAAAAAAAAAAAAGTCTCTATTTGTGCAATTTCACATTCAAATCATTTTTTTTGTAACTAACAGACGAAATTATCGAAGTCACCCCGCATATCAAAGTCGTACCCCGTTCTACGGTATACCCCGTTCTACGGTATCATTTACGGTATCGTTCGTATACCCCGTTCGGTATCATTTATCATTAAAACATGTATACTTATCATTAAAATATATATATTTATGTAAATTATTGTTAGGAATTACTTTAACAATTATATAAACATTTATCAAAAAAATATTAATTGAAAAAAAATATATATGAAATATATAAATTTAAAATATGTTGAAAAAAATATATAAAATACCGTAAAATTTATACTTTTCCAAAGTATTTTATGGCATTTTAGGATTTTTTTAAAATAATTTTAAAATAATTTTGTAGATTAACTATAAACATCTTGATGCTGGCAAGATATTCAGCTTATCATTTTGAAAAAACCTTTTTTTAGAAACATAAACATACATGAAAGATTTTTTACAAGTGCCATGGCCATCAATCAGCAACTTTAAAGATCATTTTAGCTAGTATTGTTTAAACATACATGCATTCAGACATACAATCATGCTTGTTGGTAGCTTTTTTTATATTTACAAAAAAAACATACTAGACAAAATTATTTACTTAACTGTGCTATAAAGGTCTATTGTAAACTACCCATCTTTAATAAGTTGGAACATTTTAGTAAACAAAATTTCTAAACAAAATGTTTCACCTCAATTTTCCCACATAAGTATCTTTTCGAATCAGGATTTAATCATGAAATATTATTATTTTAAATTTTTTTTGATCAATTAAATACTTTGGTAACGCTTTAAAAATTAATTAAACTTGTGATAAATTGATTTCCATAGAAAAGCAATTTAAAAAAGAAACATCATTTTTCATTCATTTTTTGGAATGTGACTGATAGGTTTAATTG